CAGGCCAGAATAAAGGAAGAACGCCCCCCACAAAAGAGCATGCATTCAGCATAGCGTCTGTGGCCACAAAATGGACATATAGTGTCCGGATGAGGAGGGTGCCTGCAGTCAGGAACGGCGGAACAATCCTGTCCACAGATGGATGCAAAAACCATCTCATGGTAGTGATTGTGACAAAGATGATGGCGAGTACACCCAAGTGCAACAGTGTCTGTGGCTGTACAAAGGAGAAGGTCACATAGTGTGTGTACATTGTACTGATGCACTGCGGTGGCAGAGGAATGATCTTCGACATAAAGGAGATTGCGGACAGATTGATGTGGCAAGAGAACAGCATCATAGAGTAAGAAATCAGTAATATCAATCATGGCATGGACCATGACACCGTCGTTTCACACGTCCCAATGGTTAGAGGCGTGTACAATAGCCATGTAATGGCCAGACCCGTGCACAATGCAGACAGAGATGTGGGATGGAGGATTAAACAACTCACTTGGTAGAGCATGGCGTAGTTCAAGCTGGCGGTTCCTCATCGCTATTTCTAGGACAGCAATGGTAAAACCTCCTTCCCTGGTGTAATTACGATGCTCTGGCTGTAGGTTGGGGGGATCAGCGAGATTAGCGAGATCAACATCAAGCTGTAGGGCAATTGCAAGGAAATCTGATGGTGTATACAACGGCCGATTGAAAATGTGAAGGCAGCTATTAGTTGCAGTCAGACCACAGAGATTGGCGGGGATCTCAGGCTGGTTTGGTTGGTTTGTCATTTGTAGATCACCCATGGGGTCTGCGCAGGGTGGTGCACAAGTATGCGGTTAATCCATATGATCCTGGTCAGCCATTTGCAAATCCCTCGTGGGGTCTGCGCCATGTGGGATTAAATGCGGTCCAAGCAGATCATGTTCCAGTCCCTCAGCGTTGGGGGACACACAGGGTGGGGCACAAGTATGCGGTTCATCCATATGATCCTGGTCAGCCATTTGCAAATCCCCCGTGTGGTCTATGCCTTGCGGGGTTAAATGCAATCCGAGCTGATTATGTTCCAGGCCCTCAGCGTTCGGGGCCGCATGTTGTACAGCTGGGGGACAAATGAACATGGAAGGGCATAAAACATGGTGTTGTGGTTGTGTGCAAGCAGCTGGATTGTCTGCAGGAGGCATAGGAGCGGATGCATCCATTTGGGACAACGGAACCGCAACAACCTGTGGAGGAGGCACAGAGAAAATTGGGGTATACAAAGAAGCAGGCCGCTGATCCCTGGCCAAGTGGCGATGTTGTGCATGTCGTCGACGATGATACACAACAAGAGGAGTGGCGATGTTTCTAACAAAAGATGAGGATGTCACTGGCAATGAAGGCGGAACAATGGGAAGAATAGAAACCGGAGAGTCGGTTCTCAAACGAGACGGTGGAGGAGATGGGGGTGGCGAGGAGGATATATATGTGGTGAATGATTCTTGTAATTAGTTGCCTTCTCTTTATTGCCTTTTATCTGAACATATAAATGGATGTTCCTTCTCTTTTTTTTTTTTCAAATGCATGTTCCTTCATTCAAGTTTATAATGAAATTTCAATTTGGTCTGATGAACTCCCGGACCTTGTTGTCCGTTTTGGGCCTAATAGGGTTCAGTGCAGTCATGGCGAAAAGTTTGAAAGGCAAGCATAGGGGAAGAAAACCTACCACCTCACAAAACCTTTTAACACACCCAGCCAGCCTCTCTACGAGCCAAAACCCTAAACCCTCGGCTAAGCTATGGGTTCTAACCTCCTCAACGAAAACCCCTTTAAGAGACACTCATGCTCGGCAAACCAAAACCTTAAACCACCAGTACATCCAGCTATCGGCCACAGGCCCTTTCCAGAGGCCGCCCGCCACCGATTCAATTTATCTACGGTGTTGGGCCTCCGAAATTTTCGTAGGCGACGAGTTTTCTTTTCAGCAAGGCTGGGGCCATGCACTGGCGGTTTAAAGGAGCTAAATGGCGTAAACCTTAATCTTGAAACTGTGGGCCTCAGCCTCCTCACAAAACCCCTTGAAGAGACCCACCTTCTACTAGCCAGAACCCCTAGAGGGCCTAAACCCTAAACTCTAACCTATAGGTTCTAACTTCTAACGTCCTCCCAAAACCCCTAACCAAAACCCCTAACCAAAACCCCAAAGGGCCTAAACTCTGGACCCTAGTCTGTGGGTGTTAACCTCCCCACAAAGCCTCTTTAAGACGTCCACCCTCTATTAACCAAAAACCTTAGAGGGGCTAAACCATAAACTATAGGTTATTATTTCTAACGCCCTCCCAAAACCCCTAACCAAAACACCAGAGCGTCTAAACCCTAGACCTTACTCCCGTGGGCACTAACCTCCTCACAAAACCCCTTGACGAGACCCACCTTCTACTAGCCAAAAACCCTAGAGGGCCTAAACCGTAAACTCTAACCCATAGGTTCTTACTTCTAACGTCCTCCCAAAACCCCTAACCAAAACCCCGAAGGGCCTAAACTCTGGACCCTAGTCTGTGGGTGTTAACCTCCCCACAAAGCCCCTTTAAGACGTCCACCCTCTACTAACCAAAAACCCTAGAGGGTCTAAATCATAAACTATAGGTTATTTTTCAAACGCCCTCCCAAAACCCCTAACCAAAACGCCAGAGCATCTAAATCCTAGACCCTACTCCCGTGGGCGCTAACCCCCTCACAAATCCCCTTTAAGAGATCCACCCTTTACTAACCAAGACCCTAAGGGGCCTAAAGTTCCAAAACCCTAAACACTAAACAATGAGTGCTAGCCTCCTCGCACCCTTAGCTACCCTGTTGATGCTATCAATGATGCAGCGCCATGCGTATGATTTGACTATGAGAACTAGACCCTAATCTGTGGGCGCCAACCTCCTTAAGAGATCCACCCTATACTAAGCAAGACCCTAAAGGGTCTAGCGTGAGTGCTAACCTCCTCACACCCTAGGCTACCTTGTTGGTGCTATTAACGATGCAGCACCATGCGCATGATTTGACTAGGAGTTGTGTCCGAGTCTTTGTGCATGTCCGCCGAGCAGCTTTGCGCATCTCAAGAGTGTTATGTATTTTCCCTATCTACACATATGGTAGCTCGTTAACCTGCGGAGGGCTATCTTCGAAATTTGGTGGATTAGATACTTTACCGAGCTGTGTAGAAGCGTCCAGGATGTACTGACGTCAGCTCGTTTTTCCTATTTCTTTCTATTTCTACGGCTCGTGTGGTGTCAGTGTAAGAAGGTGAAGAACATCAATGGCCTTTTGCAATCAGACTCGTTTTCAAACACACTTTTCACACATGTAAACAGTAACGCAGCATACTGGCGACATGCGCCCACTCAAAACTCAGAGATATGGTTTTCAGATACGAGTTCACTCCCAATTGGCTATGGCGACCTCAGCGCCCAAACATCTCACTGCTCACATACACTGGATCACCCTGGATATCCCACACGCATCACTCTAACACACGAGCACACACACACACTCACTACTAACTACAGCTATGGCAGCTA